CAGAAATATTATTTTTGAATGTGAATATCTCTATAAGTTTAGAGGGAGATATGCTCGTGGGGAATATGCAAGTTGATTTTATACCGTAAGTCATTCATATGGAGGATACAAATTCTCCCGCTAAGAGATTCTATAATACAATTCTCTATATTATCTCGTGTACCTAATATATAGCCAATTGAATGAAAGTACTTTGTGGATGACACCCGCAACTGAAGTGAAACTTCTTTGTTCTCTATTATCTGTGTTATTATATTACCAGTGTACGCGCTTGGCGTTAAAACTTCAAAATTGAATTTAACATTTTAGATAGGCGGAGAACGCCCATTTCTGATGCCCAGACCCCGATTGGCGCTTACACAATATGTAAGTTTTTTGCTGAGCTTCTCCTGCGATTTCTTGCGTGCGCCTTGATGTTGTGTCACAAAGGGCGCCCCTACTGTTTTACGTCGACTCTGAACGGCGATTGTATTTTTTATGACAAGCTGTTTTTCATGGCAGAACTACGCTCGGAGCTTTGAGCTCTTCTAATAACTACACCTTAGTGTCCTACATACGACACCAATATAAAGAGAAGTATTTGGATCTTTGGGATACCGAGTGTTTTTATTCAGATATTAATGGGTACCCGATATTTTTACAGCGATACTTTAAATAAGTACCAAATCGATAATTTCGGTTCGATATCGTGTCCCTTTGTATATCAACTGCGATACCATCTAATAAGGCTTGCATTATCACGGGAGCACGATTAAGTTTGTAATGAAAGAGCTTGAAAAATATTACTGAAATTAAAAAACATAATGTATATATCGAGCCCTAACCGCCAAAATAACGTAAGCGACATTTTTTTCAAAATTTTCTTTTTGATGCAGAAATGCATCTAGATGCTCTAGGAATATTTCTGCGTCAAAAAGAAAATTTTGAAAAAAATGTCGCTTACGTTATTTTGGCGGTTAGGTCTCGATATGAATTACATATGGCGCTACATTACCCAAAATGCTGAGTCTTCATATTTTCAGAAAAAAAATCTTTACGACTTTCGGGGCCTTTTAGCTCATAAAACCTATTGGAAACAGTTCTCTATTTTATCTAGTAACCATAAACAAATTTTCAAGAAAATTAAAAGTTATGTTTTTGAAAAAATTGAGTCTTTTGATTTTTGCAAAACCGGCCGCCATTTTCTTAATTTAAAAAATCTTTCTAATTTTTAAGTATGCAAATATAGAGCATTAAAACCACTTCTACAATCAAAAAACCGAATTAAAAAATATTGATTAAAAAAAACTAGAAAGATATGAAAAAAAAAGTCAGCGTTTTTCTCTAAAACTACAGTTTGCCCTAAAATTTTCAGTTGCTCCTAACTTAGCGGTGTTTTTTTTTAGCTTGTTAACTTGTCTCTTTATTTGTCCCAAAATATATGCAAAATCGTATTAAACTTGATTTCAAATTTTGAACCCACTCAACCTGCATGAATTGAAATAGAATCAGCCCTATGCAGATGAAGTGAGGTGCGATGACGTGATAAGATGTTATGTGATTTGATGTCAGGTAATGCGATGCGATGTGATGTGCTTTTATGTGACGTGATGTAATGTGATGTCATATCATATGAAGTCACGCCATGTGATTGCCTTGACATGCCTTTTATTAGCATGTTTTTGTTAAACTAATGCCATGTGCATATATTTAAGAATCACTTGTTTTCGTTGCAACCCTTCGCGTTCATATATACATTTCCGTTGAATCTGCCAATGCACTCGCCACCAACAAACCGGCGCTAAAGAAGTTTCACTTCAAAAATAAAAAATTCGTTCGTCTATTCCTCATCAAAAATTTATCCGTACGGGAAGTTTTTTTAATTAAATGCATACTATTTATGTATGCCACGTTTTAAGTCATCATTTGCGCTGATTTTCCAAAATTAATTTCTGCCTAGTTTCTAAATTAAATTTTTAGATCATTTTCCAGTGCAATCTCGAGGTTATTAGCATTAAATTTCTGATACTCCACAAGAAATTCCCAATAATCTAATTAAATTTAATACGCGAAAAAATGCAAGCGACACTTCTCGTTTGCTCAATTTTCGTAGTCATTTGCAAATTAATTGAATGTTGAATGTGACTTGATAAAGAAAATGAAAAAAAATATGAACAAACAACAACAAACAAGCAGTAGTGCAAACAAGTTGTCGTCTGGTGGGCAATGCAATTCGAGCTGCCATTAACAACACAAAGCTGTAAGTAAATGTGACGATAAGAAAAAAAAACAATAAATAGTGAGGTGTGTTTTTGCAACTAGATTGTTTTTTTTGAAGGGAGCTGTGAAAGCGCCACTATGGTGTGATTTTTTTTTTGCGCGGAAAGGCCGTTGGAAAATGCATGCTGGAGCTATTTGAGGTGTGTGAAAAATTCCACGTTTACATTTCCGTTTTCTCTTTGTTACTGGAGAGTTGAAGCAAGTTTTGTTTTAACTAATAACTGAAAATGCATTGAGTATAAAGGCAAATATATATATTAGGCAAACGGCACTCGTTTGCACTAAACTGAATGACGTGATGAATGAAAAATTTGCATCTGCTTCAGTGCAAATAAACGAGTTTTAGTAAAAAGTAGAAATAAACAATTTAGAATTAATTTCATTGGGAGAGCATGAATGTACATCAGAACTCTATTTTTACATATTAATAAGAGATAAACATGTTCGGTTACATAAGAGCATAGTTGAAAAAATCACCTAATGGAATTTCCTGCGAGATAGCTCATTTTCGATTTAAAGCATTATTTCACTGGGTTCCCAAAAACAATTTTGTAACGTTTAACGAAGTAAAACACAAATTTCCATCTCTTATTTTCTATAAAAAAAATTGATTTTCATTGTGTTCACCCAGCTTGTTTTTTAGGCCTCGTAATTATATTCACAATTTCTTCTCTGATGTGTTCGCTTAATGCGGGTCCATCATAATAATTTTCCTCTTCCTCTTTATTGCTTACATAACCGTTTTCCGGTTTTTGTCAAAACGAAAAATCTTGGTCTATTGATTTTGTCCTTTTCGAAGTTCTGCAATTTACTCATATCAAGTAAAGACAAATCTTTACGAACTTGGTTCATTTTTTTGTGGCTAGTCGAAGGATTTTTTTCCCTGCTGCAGCAGCGTCTATTGCAGGGGTGGGCAATAAAGGTGCATTCAGGTATCTTCACCTAAATTCGACCTGTACCCATTAACTTTAGGGGCATCCGTCGATAGGGACTTATTTTCATAGGCGTGCGACCTCAGAAAACTCTCCATACTCAAAGCACTTCATGCAGAATGTCCACAGTGCTGAACTTATTATATATTTTCCATATCTCTATACAATATACTAACAAGAAATGTATTTTATTTTTTATTTTTTTTTTCATAAAAATATGGTTTATTCTTTAACCAAAATCACAAAAGTCACACTTTTTACAAAATTTAAAAAAATTCAACAAATGTTCATCTAAATTGTGTACTTTTTAACCGACTTCCAAAAAAGGAGTGTGTTCATATACCGGTATATACATATGTAACTATATTTGCGTATGTAACGCATTCGCCCGGTAGCACCATACAGAGCCAACTAACACGTTTACTCGCACGCCTTAACTTAAAAGTAATATTATTTAAATGTAATTAAATATTGACATTGGAGATTTTTTCACAGTATTCCTTACGCACATATGTAGATATATATCACTTTCTTCATGTGTATAAAAATTCAAGAATGAATTTCGAGTGTATTTGTTTTTCATTTGGTGACACACTAGCAAGTACATTTTCACCGTCTAATTTCAACGTTTTGCAGTATCTAAAATTATTTAAATTAAAAAAAAAAATCATAAAATTTCAAAAATTACAAAATAGCTGCGACAGATATTCTGCATGATGCCATTTTCTAATTTGGTGGCACACTCTTGAAACTTTACAGATATGTTGTAATTGGTGCCAACCTCCACTGCCTCTATTATGAACATTTTATTTGAAAACTTCCCAAAGTTATTTAAAAAAAAAACAATTATAATTTCTTCAATTGACAACTAAAAATGAGGAATTTCGGTACATGATCGCCTAAATAAACGTTTTAAAGCTAAAATTGTTCAAATGCTTGATTTATTTTTTATTTTACATATTTCTGGAACTCCATTCATTGGAATATATGTATGCAAGAAAAATGCTTTAACTTTAGGGAGTGACACTAAAAAAAACAACAACTCGTGAGATTTACTTATTTGCGATAACTTCAAAATTTGTAAAGGCATCCACATACCTGGGCAAATTCGTCGGTGCGAATGGTCGGCATTGTTGTAATATTTGTCGAAACAGATTCGCACCGACAGAATCGCATATGTGTGTGTGGATATCTGAAGTGTGTGGACTTTCTCTACTTATAAAAAAAAGTTGCTGAACAAACATTGCTAGCGAATAGATATTCGGCTAAACTCTACAAGAGGATCTAAAATTACTACGCCTGTTTTTTTGGAATATTCGGCCGAAATTGACAATAAAATCTGAGTTACCTTTAGTCCTAAAACCACAGCGCCAATTTCTAAGAGTTCTTCGCCTTAGACAAAAAATCTTCCCAAACAAAAATTTTTATTGGATGGGTATTCGACCCGACTCCGCATTAAAATTAACACTACGATTTAATACGATTTTTGCCATCTTGATAAATATAGTACCACTGGAATTAGAAAAATAGTTCCAAATATTCAAATTAGGGTTTTTTTTTTTTTAAAGTGACATGTAACTCCGTTGTTCTCGCTATAAGACATTCAAATTTTGATTGAAGTACCACTTTTATTTTTTACAATATTCAAAGTGTTTTATATGATATATTTTTTCGTTGATTTTTTATAAAAATATAGCAATTTCTATAACATAAACCATATAAATCAAAGTTTAAAACATTATGTACAGTTCAGAAAAATTTAAGAAATTTCCAAAAATTTCATCAAAATTTTCAACTTCTTTTAAAAATCTCTAGAAATATACTGGGTTTTGTAGCTTATTGCATTTTAGAATAATAACGTGCAAATTTGAAAACTCGGAAAAATTTAATTTAAGCATTTTTGTTTATCGAGGGTGTCACGTTTCATTATAGCTATCGTTGCTCCGTACGATTCCATTATCGCTACCGTGGTGGTTGGTAATTAACTTGCCCAACTGTTAAATAAAATTGTACACAAATTTTTAAATTGCACGTGCTGTTCAATTTTGCATTAAGTGTTGAGCAAAACAACCCCTCCCTTATCAGCGTAACAAAAACTTATCGGGGAAACTTAAATTTCAATTAACAATCCACATCACACTCACCAGCACATTCCCGCGCACACATATCCGCTTGAAAATTATGCGATTCTGGATTACAAATACGTTCGCACTGATCACAGCCATCGAGAAATACCGAGCAATACTCATCAATGGGTTTGCAAATCCTGCCATGACAATCCTTTGCCGCAGCGCTTTTGCCATTAGTTGCTGCTTTGGCAACGGCCAACGTGGTGGGCAGCAGCAGTGAGGCAACGCGTACTGCCATAGATGGAGGAGAACTCGAGCAGCCGACAATCATGTTAAGTGATGTATGTATGTAAGTAATTGAATACGTTGATTTCACCAGTTATTAACACTTGGCGTATGTTTAACTTTATTATCAAGTGCGTTTATTATTTACTTTATCTATTTTATTACTGTATCTGTTGATGTTCAGATTTCGCTATATTATTTCGAATTTTTTCCACCACTAGGCACTGCAAAAACTGGCATAGAAAACAGCTTTTACGATTTGTTTACTCGCACCTGAGCCGCTAATAAATATTTATTAAATTAAGTTGTAGAGTGGTTTGTCACCGGAGAGTAAACACACGCACACGCATACATATACATTAAACTTAAATGCGCGCATTGTTAACGGAAACTGATTTTAACTTTCTTATTGTACAGGTTTTATTTTTATTTTTTGAAATAAATGCCGCAACTGGTTTGTAAGTCAATGTGTAAGTAGCCAATTTGTTGGCGGTTAGTTAGGTTGTATTGTCTGCTTTTGGTTGGCAGCGATGCGATGTCGGTGCTGATGAGGATGATGATGGTGGCGATGATTCATCCAAACTGATCACTGTTATTTTTTTATTATTATTTAAAGACTTGTTCTTGAACACATGCATACATTATGTAGTGGTAAGGGTTTATACATCTACATGCATACATACATATATAGTATACATAACAGTGTGTTTGAGTCGCGGCAGTTTGAGCGCGACTTAAAGCATTTTGACGTTTTTCAGTTTTCTTTTCAAATATTTGAATCCCTTAGCATAGTTGCATAAATGTATTCATATGTATGTACCTATGTAAACGTAATAAATCGTAATCGAAGACTATTTATTTTGACCTTCATCCTACCATTAAAAATGAGTGCGCCTGGGTCAAATTACGGTAGTGCACTTTATTCGATTCAGTCGAGTGAATTTTGTATTGCAGAAATTTTAATTACTTTTATATAAACCATATCCTTTGCGTCATCACATTTAATAATAATAATAGATTGGCGCTTATACATATGTTAGTGTTTGGTCGAGCTTCTCCTCCGACTTGTGGCGTGCGCCTTGAAGTTGTCACACAAAGCGGAGGGATCTACAATTTTACGCCGACTCCGAACGGCGATTGTATTTTTATGAGAAGCTGTTTTTCATGGCAGAAATACACTCGGAGGTTTGCCATTGCCTGCCGAGGGACGACCGCTGTTAAGAAAAAACCTTTTTCTATATTTTTTGTGATGTTGCTTTGACCAGGGCTTGAACCCAGGTGCTGATGAGTGAAAGTGCGCACTGCTTACCACTACACCACAACGGCCAAAATCACATTTATATCCGTAGTAAAACCCGTAAAAATCCAAAATCTAAGCAAGTAAACGCGGATGCCACATTGAGTAACTGAAACGAATGGTCCGCGTTGTCATCACAGGAGCTATGCGCACCTTGGTGTCATTACATGCATCCCTTCTTTGTGTATTCTGATCGAAAAAGAGGCTTGAAAAGTGGAGATCTTGGGGTCATTTCAAGGTTCACAAGTCATTCCTGGATTATCCCGAGTTATTCTTATATAAACCCTACAAGGTTAGAATTATTGAAAGGGACCGCTGTGAAGTGATAATAACTATGATTGACGAAAGGTCCCAAGTATGATATACCGAGAGATCAAAGATGGACGGCGGGAGTACTGTGGCAGGCGTACTTGGACCAAGCATCTAAGAAAGCCTGTCAAAGTTTGTGTTCGTTATGTAGTGGGTTCCGGGATATGAGGGGTTTGAAAGCAACGAATGGGTTGACTTGGCATCGAAAAAAATAAATAAATAAATAAATAAAATGTTTGGTAGGTTTTGATAGGAAAAAAATCGTTCGTGGCAACACTGACTGCAGTGCCATTCGAGAGGTCCAGAGTTTTTTTTATTATAATTTTTTCTTGTTTTATTTATTTGCGTTTTAATTATTGGATTTAATTTTCATAATTTCATTTGAATTAATTTCATTATGTTTAGAAACGTATTTTATTTTTCCCCATTTTATATTCTATATGATTTATATTTTTCAATTCAATTTTCTTTTTGGTTTTAGATTTAATTGATTTAAAAAGAAAAAATAATTATTTTTGTTTCACTTTTAGGATCTTATTCTATTTTTTTATAATTTTTTTGTCTTTTTAAATTTTTTAAGTTTCCTTTAATTTTTATTTTTTTCAATTCAATTTTCTTTTTGGTTTTAGATTTAATTGATTTAAAAAGAAAAAAATTATTATTTTTATTTCACTTTTAGGATCTTATTTTTTTTTTTTTTTAATTATTTTTTTGTCTTTTTTAAATTACCTCTCCTCTTAACTTTAAAATTTTTTAAGTGTCATTTAATTTTTAGGTAGGTATTTATTCCTTTGTATTTCTTCTTTTGCGTTTTTAATTTTTTTCATTTTGTCTAGATTTTCATAAAATTTTTCTTCCGCTTTTCAACTTCACGCACGAATCGCCACTGCACGGAAACACAAATACACAGATACATTGGGTATATTTTGCAGAAACTGGTTTATGCGGTTAAGTGGCTGGCTTAAACGCATTGCCAATACAACGAGCCAACTTGCGTGCTACTCACAACACTCATTTTAAATCAAATATTAAAAAACAACGAACAAAGAAGTAAGTCCAGTTAGTGATTCACCAACTTCAAAACTTCAACCTGAACCAATGGTTTTGTAAGCCGCCGTAGAGGATCATAATTGAAATTATATTACTTTTAATTGACTTTTTTAATCCAATCAATTTGTATTTTTTCGGTTCATTATATAAATTTGTTATTTCAACAATATGCCAAAATTTTCCATAGGTACCGTTCCATTTTTTCGATAAACGTTTATACACTTTCAAAAATTTACCCGCTACCAGCGCGCGTTTTGAGCCAAACTCAGCCAATAACTAAAGGTGTCGTATTTAAACAACAAAACTTCACTTCTCTACTGACTTTTGTGTACGCACACATACACTTATACCTACGTGCATATGTATCTACAAACAATACGACTTTAACACTCAACGATCGTTTGATGTTTTGTTTGATTTCTTTTTTTAACTTTTACACGTCAAATATATACATAGACTAGTGTACCCGATAGGAAATTCGCTTGTTTGGATCCTACTTTTCCAACACTGGAGTACACCCAGTGGTGCAACCATATTTTATTCGCAGTGTTCATTAGTAGTAGAGATCTAATTTTTTTTTACGGGTGAGTCCATTTGGTAGGGTTGCTTAAAAGTCTGTCTTACTTTTTAAGCGGTATTGGGAGAGGGCTCAGTTTCGTGAAAGACAATATAATTAAATTATACTCTATTTATCGTTTGCAGCACTTAAAATATATGTAGATAGAGACAGACTCAATCTGGGAACTATTTCTGGATTTTAGACATTTTAGGGATCCTCAGAACTTATCGATATATTAATCGATATTTTTAGCGATTTTGTTATTGATATTTTTATAGATGTTTCAATCGATTTTGTTATCAATTCTGAGGTAGGGTGTTCTTTAACCAAATTCTGAGATAGGATGTTTTTCAATAAAAATCCGAAATCGGGCGTACTTCAATCAAATTCTGAAGTAGGGCGTTCTTGAAAAGTTTTCTGAGATAGGGCCTTTTCGAACTAGCTGTCGACATAGGTCGCTCTTCCACTCAGGTGTCGATATATTGGTTAAGACAGAAACTAGATACCTAACGTAAGTTTCACTTCTCCAGTGTGACGCAGGCGCACTTACTTTTTTTATGTTGAGTTGAACCCAGGCCCTGCGGAATGGTAGCGCTCACTGCTAGCCGCTACGCCATAGCAGTCGCCCATAGTCCTGAAAATTGCAATGCGGCTCAATGTTGCTGGTCAGTTCAATTGCAGATCATACGGTCATTGTTAGTTTTCCTGCCACCTGGACGGAAACATAGATTACATCATCCCATATCTGCAATTTGGGGAAATTTTGTCAGTCATATACGACGACTTCAAAAGGTGCCCTAGAATGCAGAAGTGAGCTAAATATTGTACAGTTTTACTGGGTACTGGGGCATAGAGGCTTAGAGAGAAGAGAAAAGGTGGATCCTCTAGCAAAAGAAAGAGTGCTACTAAATAATACAGTCATACTAGAAATTCCTTTCTGCCTAAAGGCTCTTAAAACGAGTGGATTAAAGCTGTTTCAGAAGGTAGGTGGATGCTAATGTAAGATGACAAGAAATTAACAAAACTTATACTTAAGCTACCAAAGAACGATTGTAGACTTCTGGCGGGGCGTTCCTCAAATCCTCGAGCAAGCAACAAAAGACGGGTTCTGCAGGATCCTAATATATGATATAAATAGTGCCCACATATTCATCATGAATAGTTGCTTTAATACTATGGACGAAAACATGTGCCTCTATTTGGATTTTACTATTCAGCCAGTTCAACCTCACCTTGCATAAAAACACGCTTTTTAACATAGCTCTACAAAAATGTATCTAAAAGCATTAGGTTTTACTTTTTTAAGTTATTTTCATGAGTCTCCTTTATAGCCCCAGCTCACCAGTAAAAGAGCTAGGCCGAGACTTAAAAACTTGCAGTCGGGCGGGACAAGTTCTGGGCTATGGTTTGCTTTAGCTTTTCCCTAGTTGCTCTTCAGCATCAGTTAGCACTTGGGGCGCCATTCTATTGGACTTCGCTCGTTCAATGGATATTTATTCTAACTCGTCAATTTGTGCATTGTCTTCGAAATTTTAGTCAAACTATTGTGAACATGGCTTGCTCCTGGCTAAGCCAATTCCTTCGCCTTCGTATTAACTTCAAAACATTTCTCACTCGAGCTTCCCAGGTAGCGTTATTCTTTAGTATGCTACAGGCTAAATATCTACTACTCATATACCTCTATCGCATTTGGGGAAGATGCAAATAATTTCCTTCTCAGAAACTTGGGTTCTTCTCCATTCGCTTCTGGATGGGTACCGCACAACACTGATGCCGATGGGCTTTTGTCCCCACAAATCAGGCTCTCTAAGTCGCACTGCTGAGTACAACGCGGTTTCCTTTGGGTATAGATCAATGGATATCGTATAAAGAATATCCTTCAGTGTATCTGAAGGGCAGGATTTCAGTACTACCGTTACCCTCGTTTAAGCCGCTTTTGTAAGCTTCTGGGCTGGCTGACTTTGTATTGTTTGCTTACTAGGTCGCCATGGGTTAGAATTGGGCTCATAAATAATAATGGTGTATGTCCATCCACATTAAAAGTTTCGATTTTATACTGAAGATTCTTTTACTATGTATATTACAGTTAAGTTCTATCTTTATTTTCTCAACGTTAGGCGTCCAATTTAGTTGAGTTTTTCGCACGTCTGTGAAGTATTTTTTAACTGCCTTTCTGAGTGATAGGACATTATCATTGTCGGGGTACATTTGTTTGAAACAAAAATTTATCTCAAGTGTTAAAGCTTTACCTACAGGGTATCTACTTGATTGTTGTACCAAGTACTACCAACAATGATACTCAGGCAATACAATCGGTTTGCAGGCAATTCATGTCGGTTAATATTTATGTCTACATATAAACATGCATACATAGGTATCAATTTTCAAGTGTCAGTAAACGTAGAGTAGGTCTATTGCCTTTAGCGGCCAAGAGATAGTACAAATATATATTTCCTTCTGTACATAAAAATGTATTCGCATTCACATATACATACATACTTACGATTTTTTAATGGATCTGTGTATACTTTTTGGTTAATGTATGTAAGTAGGCAACTGACAAAGAGTATGTCAAGCGCCAGTACACTTGAGTGACTTTTTCCTTGAGTTGAGCTGAGTTGTTTTGCTCTCGCAGCAGCATTTGTTGACTGACTGACTACCTGTTGCGCAGCTGTTATTATAAGTGCTTAAGTTCTCTGCTAATCGAAGCATTGAAGTGCTTGGAATAGCCGGCCAAGTTGAATCACAGAATTCCGGTTGAATGTTTGTTTACGTCGATGGTTCGATTTTATGAAGCGCAAGTGGGGGCCTATTTTGAAAGGAAGTTAGTATTTGAATTTATAAGACTACGTTAATCATATAAACTATGCGCAAAAATAAAACCAAATATAAATAAATAAAAGAAAAGAAGTTTTCACCATTTTTGAAACTTTAAATATCGTTAACTTTCAATAGAAAATTAGCAAAGAAAGAAAATACATTTATATGTGCATTAGGGTGGTGCAAAAATTCATGTGAAAAAGTAAAGTCGGTATTTTTATGCTCTCACTCCCTAGGATTGTTCTATATCGAAAAAATATACCCCTATTTTTTATTTTGAAATAAAAAAAACCGATTTTTTTATTTATTTATTTTATTTTATATGAGGAAAAAACCACTTTTCATAGCAATGGTATAGAATTCTTGAAAAGCAATACAATTAGATCGGAACACATTTTTCTTCAGGAGATTCGCAATAATAATACCCAATTATTTACTTAAATTTTTTTTTATAATAACTCTATTTTATGGGTCCGCCAAAACCCCTTCAAAATGGCAGAAAATGCAATGGGGGGTAAATAAAAAGTCTTTAGTGTTAAAAATTAGTTCAATAAACAATTGGGTGTTGTTGTTGAAAGTCTCCTGAAGGGAACCAGAGTTTTCCAAACGAAAAATATTGATTTTCAAGAATTCGACACCATTTCTACGAAAAGTCGTTTTTCCCCCCATATAAAATACATGGAAAACTTTGAGCACTTTGAGCGACCTCTAAATATTTTTTGATTTAAAAATAAATAAAATTGGGTAAATTTTTCGATATAGAACAATCCTAGGGAGGAGAGCATAAAAGTTCCGACTTTACTTGTTTTGGACCACCCTATGTGCTACTCAATCTCTCTACATTCTCTGCCTAAAACAGGACATTTCTTTTAACTCAAAACTGGTTTCCATTAAAAAAAATTAAAAACTCACACACGCTTGCTTGCATGCAATCACAAAGGCATTTATGTATTTCCATAAGTAAATATTTACTTATGTTAAGAAGCACTGGCCATTATGAAAACAAATAGGAAATGTAGACAAAAGTATTAAAAGTGCACACATACACCTACGTTATGTAGGCTACACACTCGGTATTCGCATACAATTCCTTCTCTTGCTCTCTTATTCACAGTGCTGCCAAATCGGATAACTCAATACAGTTTTAAATGGCACCATTGCATTAAATACTGTTAGGGAGCCACTGTAGCATTGACCGGAAATCAAACTAAATGCTAGCAGAAGTTTAAAATGGACTTGCTTTAAAGGTGTGTATTTTTACTTAATAAAAAAAGGTTGATTTTATTTTGATTTATGATAAAATCAAACAAAACAAATATTAAAAACAATTTTGTTTGTTTCAAAAGTGGTTGCATTGGAACGAGTTCCAGTGGCTTCCAAAATGTAAAACTGTACTTCCATTTCTTGATAATGTTGCCATATTATCAAATTTCTATTTTTTAATTTATCGTTCAGTTGCTGGTAGAACGTTGTAAATAAAAAAAATAAAAAATTAAAAACAAGATGGAGTGAACTGGCAATTACGTTAACACTGTCCTGCGTTAACAGCGCTTACCGTTATCGCCAATGTGCTGTATGCGACAAAAGGACTATCAATTTCTAACTACATGGATTGGAGCTTTAAGTGTAGCTTTCGATTCCTTATATCTATCATCGCCGTTAGGAGTTATTCCTCCAAGTGAAAGAAAAAATTTGCTGGTCTGCATATTAGAACACCAGTTAGTATTACCAATTTAGTATGTACAACTTGGACGTTTTAATGCATTGTGGACTATTTCAGGATCTATTGGTGACTGGTTCGTACTACCGCGAAATTATCTCGAACTAGACCCAAAATTGGATTAAAGTAGTCCTAAAGTGGTACTAAAAAAGTCATGAACTTGTCCCAAAATGATCTCGAGCAAGTCTA